TGATGTTGTTAAAAGCTACTTTTAAAAATAGCGAGCTTTACCGCTATTTTACAAAAAAGAAGCGCGTTATCGATATTTTTTAAAAATGTAGCTCACTATCTTATGGCCAGAATCACATAAACTCATCTAACTCAAAAACTTTATAGATGCTCTAATTTTTTTTTAAAGATATATTTTTGTTTGATATATTACCTTTAAATGTTTTCTCAAGTTGAAGCAACTTTTGATGATAAAACCTCAGCCACATCTTACAGAAAAATTTATACCATGTGTTAATTTTTTTTATCGAGATTAAAATAATTTATGAATTTAGGAAAAAGAATTTTTATATCATCATTATTTTCAAGGAATATTACTTTATCGATATGATCTGTGCCAAAATTATGTTCATTATCAATCTCTATTGTCGACATTTAATAATTTTTATTTTTTTGAAAAATATATTTACAATGCATATTTTTAAATGTAAATTTTAATTTTAAAATAAAATAAAATAAAACGATTATGATTTTAAAATTAATTATATAATTATTATAATATTTTTTGCTATTCGTTATCTCTCTTATTAAGTTGCACGCTAAAGATATCGATACTAAAAAAATAGCTATGGAATATCGTGCTAATAGAACACTGCAAATTATATATTTCAAGTTCAAGGTTTGGAACCGAAAAAAAATTTAAAAAATTGTTTTATCTTCATTCTCTTTTATTTCTGTAAATTCTATCCAACTAGACATTTTGTTAATATGTTGAGGGCCTGGCAGTCATACCCATCAAGACAAAAAATGAATACTTTTATTCTAAATATATTTAAATGAGCTTTTATTTGATACCCATATCTATATTTTATGTTAATAAAAATATTTCTCACCCCCCAAGACCTAGACCCGCCTTCTATAAGTGATTATTATTATACAATAAAAAATATTTTAATTACCTTTTATTTGATGCCCATATCAAAAAAAATATTTTTTACACCCCCCCCCCCTCACCCCTTTTCCCAGACCAAGTCATACCCATCAAGACCAAGAATGAAGACTTTAAGTCAAACGATATTAAAATTAGCTTTTATTTGATACCTATATCAATAAAAATTATTTTTTAAAGCCCCCCTCCCCCATCCCCCAGACCAAGTCATACCCATCAAGACCAAGAATGAAGACTTTCAGTCAAACGATATTAAAATTAGCTTTTATTTGATACCTATATCAATAAAAATTATTTTTTAAAGCCCCCCTCCCCCATCCCCCAGACCAAGTCATACCCATCAAGACCAAGAATGAAGACTTTCAGTCAAACCATATTAAAATTAGCTTTTATTTGATACCCATATCGATATTTTGTGTTGAAAAAAATATTTATGACCCTCCAAGACCTACCCCCGCCCACTATGGGGGAGAGGTTGAATAGATCTTTTGATTAGATATCAATTGATACCTATATTAGACATATGTTATATCAAAAGGCCAAAAAAACAACATTGAAAATTAATGAATAACAATAAAATTAAGAAATGCAACAAAACGCGTGGAAAACGTTTTTAAAATAAGATTCCTCTTTATCACGATAAAAACGTGATAATGCCGTATAGTTCTTTATCCTTTAAAAACTAATTTTAAAGGGATCCCTTTAAATCCCGTGAAGATCAGGATAGTTATGATACCTTTAAAAATTACGACATATATATGGATAAATATATACATAAAATATTAGGAAGTTTATCATACATAATTATTATCAGTGTTGTTAAACGCTACTTTTTAAAGTAGCGCGCTATCGCTTCCGCTATTTTATAAAAATTATAGAGCGCTATCGCTACCGATTTCAAATGAGTAGCGCGCTATTAGCTACTTTTTACGTTATTTTGATTTTTTTAAAAATATTTTTTACATAACTTTATTTCTACAAATAAAATATTGGTATAAAAACATGACTATAATTTGTTACATAATATATATATATAATTTATTTAATATTACACTTTAATAATAATAACATTTCGATATTATCTTCCCCAAGTCTAGAGCGACGATCAGAAGTATAAGCTTTGCCATACTAAATAATCGTTCAGCACTAGCACTTGAGGGCAACGCAGAATTAAATTTAATAAACACACTATTTATATGAAAAAAATCATCAAAGATATTTAAATGAGTATTTTTAGATTTAAAAAAAGCATCTAGAGGTTCAATAATATTATTGTTATTTCAAAAAAATCGTCTATGGAAGGCCGCGGTTTCGATCTTGATATAGTATTAGTATCGTGGTTAGGCATGACATTTTTTAACGTTATCATCAGCCTATCAAGTTGCCTTTTAGATTCAGTCAAATTAATGTATGGCCAATTTAACTTGAAACTAGGATGAACGATAGCAGCTATTACATTATCATCATCATACAGATGTGGAAATCTAATTTATATAAGGCGATTGTATTAATTTTAAAATAAGAAGAATATCTTTTTAATTTTCAAAATTTAAATTTATCTGAGATTTAGATTCAGTTATAAAAAAATATTAAAATAGCAATAAATTATGGTAAATATAGATTTTAAAAATATAATTATTGTACACAAGGTAATTAATAATATATTAATTTTGAATTTTATATTAATAAATACAATATATTATTATTATAGATTGTGTTGTAAATAGAGCCAATTTGAATTATGGCTAATCAAGCAATAAATCATTCATTCTATATAATTGTATAATAGAAAATAAAAATAAAGTTTTGACTTTTTCTCAAAGCCTTTTAGCACTCTACTAGTAGTTTGCAAAATTTTCTTGCATTGAAACCGATATCCAGTATTATTTTTTTCTTCAAGATTAAAGTATTTTTTGAATTTTGGGAAAGGATAATCTATATTTTCTCATTTTCCAAAGAAATTTCGCTATCTTCAACAATCTCACACATTTTTAATGACTAGATTTATAATACTAACTAGATTTATAATGTATATTTTTAAATATAAATTTAAATTTCAAAATTAAATAAAATAAAAGGATTATAATTTTAGATTTAATAAAAAATATATTTTAATAATTTTTAAATGTATTTATTATGTAAAATTGAAAATAGCGCTACTTTCTAAATTAAAAGAGAGCTATCGCTATTTTCTAAAAAAAGTAGCCAACTAAAGCTACCGCTACTGAAAAAAATAGCGCGCTATTTTAACTACACTGATTATTAAACTTATCATATATTATAAAACATATAATAAAATATCCATATATATAATCATTAGTGACTGACAAATATACCACATAATATGGAAATAAAATATTACAATAAATTATTCCTTTACTATATTTCCCCTTCATTAATTGAAAGGAAACACAACTTAAAATTTCTCCTAAAACATCCTAGTCTTTGGTCTCCATTTACCGCTGTCTTAGTAAGATTGATCTTGCCTAGAGTATCAATATCGTTTTCCTTGTTGATCTCACCTAGAGTATCAATATCGTTTTCCTTGTTGATTGATCTCACCTAAAGTATCGATATCGTTTCCCTTGATGATCTCCCACCGGAGTATCAGTATCGATGGATCTCCCACCGGAGAATCGCTATCGAGTCATTGTGCCTTAATCTCCCTCCGGAGAATCAGTATCGATGGATCTCCCACCGGAGTATCGCTATCGAGTTTATTGGTAGACATCGTACTTGAAAGGCCCACGAGATCATCATTATCCAAGACTGGCCAAGAGATCACTGTCATCTTTGAATGGCCCACGAGGTCACTATTATCATAGAGCTGGCCAAGAGATCGCTATCAACCTTGGATGGCCCATGAGGTAATCCAAATCATACATCGTATATCCAGGCACACTGGCTCCGGAGCCCGTTTTGCATATGTCAGGTGATTTGAGAGCCCAACATCCTTATATCTTTAGGTCTTAATTAGTCAGGTATATTTATCAATATCCATTTTCACAATGTCAAAATAAGACAGGTTCTATCAGTAACCCTTTTCTCAATGTTCAAATTACATAATCCATAAACCAATCTCCATGTTTTCCAATATAATTATCTAATAATGTCCATTTTACAAAGATTAATCACACCATATTTCCATAAGTAATAGATTATACCATATTATCATATACATCCAAATGATTGTTAAATTATTATCAACAGATTTCTACATATTCATAATTTTATCCTTCTCATTTTTAATAATTGTGTGCATTCATTCTTCTGGAATCATAGTATAATCAATTATTGTTTTTTATAATTCATATTTCAAGACAAGATTGCATAATAATAAATTCATTTACCATTAATGTATTTTCCATATAATACCATAGTTTATTATTCATTTGAAATGATATTTTCCTTAAATTTTCCAAAGTTAATTACATAAAACCCAATAGCTTCAAATTATATATTCTTTTCTTTTTTTCTCTACCGCCAATTATACAATTGGGTTTCTGACATATTATTCCTCGATTTTTACAATAGGCAATGTGTATATGGTTAAATGTAAACATAAAATATTAGGAAGTTTATCGTACATAATTATTATACTCAACATACATTATAAAACATATAATAAAATATCCCTATATATAATCATTAGTAACTGACAAATATAACACATAATATGTAAATAAAATATTACAATAAATTACTCCTTTACTACAAATTTCATAGTAGTGATTCATGAAGAATATAATTGTGTAAGTGTAACAAATCTCTTCTAAACATTCTTCATGACCCAATCACAACCAAATAATATATGATTATTAATATTTTTCTTAGATTTTTAAATAAAACTTAGATAAAAAGTTTCTAATAAAATCTATTTTATATTGTATCTAAATATTGATATACAAAATTATATTAGAAAAAATAAATTAAAATGTAATACATGATAATATAATAACGAAAATTATTAAAATATTAAAATTTAATATGACATTGATATAAATTAGTATTAACAATATATAAAAAAAAATATTTGCCTTACATATCCAAATAAATGATTGTCATATAAATTTATTGTTCAATCACTCTCTAATATGGATAATTTAATACTAACAGGTAATCCAAAAAATATATTTTAATTAGATATTATTTTTAAGCATTTGGTCCATTTGGCGAACACAAAATCAATAGCAGTACGGTATGTTTAAATGAAATAAAATCGAAATGGAATTTAAATACTTTTGGCGTTAATCTGATAACCTATGAGATCCCTGTTATATATGAGGATACTAATGAAATAATACACAAGTTATGGGACAGGCATAAGCCAAAAGTATTATAAAGTTATAATCCAACATTAATTTTGTAAAGTTAGCTTATAGCTCATTTAGGCGTGTCAGGGTTAGCTGATGAAATTACCTTAGAAAAATGTGCCTTTAATGGACCATACACTCAATGTGATATTAATGGTAAAATTCCAAAGTCATATTGCTGTCTTAGTGATTATAGTCAGGATGCACAATTTCAAACAGAGATAGATTTAGATTTATTGTGTAATACCATTAAGCTAGAAAATGATTCAAATATTCTAAATAAAATTTCCATATCAAATCATCCTGGGAAGTAATATATTTAAAAACAAATAGTTTAATATTAATTTAAATAGATATTTGTGTGGCTATTCATATTTTTGCTCACTATCGATAAATCCTGCAAGAGTACTCTTCATACATATTCCAGTTATAAATAAAAAATATTCAGTTGATGAAATAACTCAAGCTCTAATCATAATATTTACAACTCTCCTAAAACAGATAGATGAATCCTAATTTCATCATTTTTATTTATTTATATAATATATTTTTATGAGGTAATCTATGCTAATATATTTTTATAATTAATTTTTTTTTTCAAATTAATGATAGAAAATAAATGTTATTTTTTATATATAGTTTGTATTTTGGGTGTATAAATATTACCTATATCTTACAGAGAGCCTGTCTTATAAGTATAGAGATCCATATGATAATAAATCTCTAACTATCAATAATTGATATATATAAACTATATCAAAGTGAATTTAAGACTTTTTATTGGCAGAAGATCTATTTTTACTTAAATCTCAATCATTGATTGACCAGATATATCCTTTGTAGTCTATTGTTAGTAGTAATAGAAATATAAGTCAATTAATAATTCTTGCAATTCTTTTTCTTTTATTTTATATCAAAATAATAAATTGTTTTTTAATATAAAAATGAAAAACATTTTATGAAAAATAACAATTCAATACATATCATCCTTCACTTCTCATTTTTGTAATTTTCTGGATGTTCCTTTTTGCAATGGTTTTGGAATTATTGTCTGCAACCCCAAGAAGCAATGAACAATATTAATATGAGATTTTAGTACTTACTAATTTTATCAATTCAGTTTTTCCAGTCAATAAATAAAAAAGTTATTATCTAAATAAAAATCATGGCATAGGCTGAGTCATAAAAATATCGAAATTTACGATTCAAAACTCATTTACTTTTAAATATATCAAAGTCTTTTTTTTTATTTTACCCCGATTCAAAATATTTCTTCTTGTAATTCTATGATCTTTATAGATGTTCTTTCATCCTTTTCAAATTTTTTTAATAAATGTAAAAGTTAAATAGTTTAAATTAGATTTTTAATTTACGAGTTATATATTCAAAAAAAATTGATATGAAATTCGATATTAAAACGTACTCCCAAACATGAAGTTTGCCAAACTTTTTGAAATCACTAATTCTTAAAACTTACGTCTATATGCAATGCTTAAAATAAATTAAAAATACTAAAATAGATACCAAGATTCAGCATAGAACAGATTCTAGAAGCATTAAAACAATTATAATAAATTAAATCCTTTTCATAATCTTTCAAAATATAAGGCTTATTGTAGCTGTAACTTAGATACATATTTAGTATCTATAACATAAAAGTAGTGAAAAAGACTTGTGGCATCTTTGGAAAAATATGATCCCCAAAAAGATGGACTGGTTATGCTAAAGTGAAACCGTTTATAAAGCTGATCTTTTTTTTACCCTCATGCGTTGCTAAAGTTGAGTGTAGTGTTGTTAAAGGGCTCGATTTGAAGCCGATTTTTAAAAACGGATAACTCAATAATATACCCAGAAAATGTTAGGCACGCCTGAAGATTTTGCTCGTAGCTTGCACAAAGGTTTGAACATCTATCAGCAAAATCTCATGGCTTAGGTAATATTTTTCTGGCTAAAATATTGAGTTCTCAAAATCGGCTCAAATCAAGCCGTTGAAACAATACTAGCTTAAGCGATTGTTTAGTAAAATAATATTAATACTAAGTACGCTTTTCCAATAACGTCGATCCCATACGAATCACAGCTCTTTAAGAAGCGTTCTCTTGTTTTTTTGTTATTTTTGTATCTAACATTGATAATTCGTGAAATTTTTAAGAAATTTTCCTCGCACTTTCTTTCTTTTTAATATGGAAGAAGGAATTTTCTAGAAGATTTTTGTATCTAACATTGATAATTCGTGAAATTTTTAAGAAATTTTCCTCGCACTTTTTTTCTTTTTAATATGGTAGAAGGAATTTTCTAGAAGATTTTTATAAGAAATACAAAAATTAAGGAGGTGGTTTCATCAATTCCCAAAGGGCAAATTTTCGTCATGATATCTATATATAAGTATATTATAAAAACAAAATTTTTATTACTAATCATATTTTCCATGGGAGAGGAAAGTTCAACTCCTAACCCCACCCCCCTTGGCCCTACGCCACTGGTGATTTTTCATGAAGTTAAAATTATAAGAATTTTAGATAATTCTTTAGTTTATTGTTTAATCTATTCCTAATATAAATTGTCACAAGTTTTTATATCTAATATAAAGATTAAATGTGTTGACAGAATTTTTTTTTCTCTAAAACTTTGTACTATTATCTTACTTAGTTTAAAATTCTTAACAATAGAATTCATCTGCCACAATAGATCCTCTAAAGGAATCGGATGCCAGCGTTACCGGACCCCCCCCCCACCGCCACCTGGGTTGAAATGGTCTAAATATATTGATAAATTGAACTATTTATTTTATGTTAGTTTTAAGGGAATATCCAAAAAATGTCATAATAGGTGGTGACTTACGGGGTAAATATGATACATTATTTGCATCTATCATTAGTTTAACATCTCTTATAAATAATATTTAAAAAAAAAATCATCCAGTATGATGCAAATCTTGGAAACCTTTTCTTATTTTGCAAATAGGGCAATTTTTTAAAAAAAATATATATACCAAAATGGGGTGAAAATGCAATAAATACGCATTAATTATGTATTTTATATGTTGATTTAAAATGATAATGATTCTTTCTCATATTAAAGTAATGTATTTATCAATAAATTTCGAAAACATATGTTTATTGTCCACATTCCCTAAATAAAAACAATTTTCTAGAATATTTGATCAATTTTTAAATGGCATTTCACAAACTTTCTGGGCAAGTCAAACAATAAAAATGAAATGTAAATATCGAATATTCCTTGTTTTGCCATTTTGAATCACGACTTTGTCGATTCATTCATTCAACATCTTTCCTCCATTATTGCACAATTTATTTTATATGATGTGCATATATATATATATATGATCCTTCAGAATTTGTGCCTTTTAATATGAAGGGATAAGTGGTCGCTACGCGCGAAAGCTCTTAGGCACACGCTGCACTTGAAAGGCTTGTCTCCCGTGTGTTTCCTAAAGTGCCTCGTAAGCTCATCCGATCTCGCGAATTTCCAACCACAACCATTCCAATCGCAAGAATATGGCTTTTCCCCAGTGTGAACTCTGGAATGGGCCCGCAAATGGGATATCTTCGAGTAAGTCTTTAAGCAACCCGGGTGACTGCATTTGAAGTCGGGATTGAAGGAAGAAGGTATCGAATCCTTTTTACGCGTTTTTAAAGTTCCAGTTTGGGGTTTCAAGTCAAGATGATTTGAAGCGGGATTGAATATTTTTTTTTTATTAGGATCGGCATAGATGTTAAGGGGCAGCTCTGAACTATTGAGATTACTAATCTTGTTGTTTAGGAATGGTGCGGGATCAATATTTGACACCTCGTTTTTGAAATCCGAATCCTGAGAATTCGAAGTTCTCGAAGAAGGATAGTTAGGTTTTAACTTCTGAAAGTGGTAGGAGTATTTAGCGACAATAGCTGAGAAGAGGATGGGCGTATTAATTTTGGCGTATTTCCTCGGATGAGACATGATAGACCTAGGATAGCGATTCTTTTCGGATCTTTCGACGATTTCCTTTTTACGCCGCGGCTTGAAGATTTCTTCGCGGGAATTATTTGAATACATACAATGATCATTATTGAAAATCTGGAGATTTCTCTGATTATTATTGTAGTAATCTGTCGTTTGATCATTAAAATTGTGTCCATTAGACGAGTCGCCATTATGGCTATCGTACAACCTAAATTCCGTGTTGGCGTTAGCAACCGGTCTAACTTCTCCGGTCTCCAGAACGATGGCATTATTGTCCATATCGAAGTAGCTCGATTTTTTCTGGCAATAACCGTTGTTAGAATATCCGAACTCCGTCACAGGGAGCTCGCGATCGTGACCGCCATTAGCTCCCGTATCATAAGCGGCGGTATTACAGAATCTCCTTTCCCTCTTGAAGGTATCTATGGCTTCCAGGCTGTCCTCAAAATTCGCGACGTTATTGTAGGCGTGATTTGGTGGATAGTTTGAACTTCCCATCGTTAACCGTACGTCGAACCTTGTCTGGCAATCTAAGTGAAAAGACACGATATCCGATATTTGATTCATTTTTCAAAGAATTTTTATTATTATGACAAATCTGACACTTTCGACTCTTCTCTTCATCCCTAAACTCGACTTTATTTGACACGTGACTTCTACTAATTTAAATAAATTCACCGAGATTTTTTTTTTTTACAAAATTATGTGTGATAACACTTTAAAATTTATGTAAAAAAAATTTTTTTGACGAAAGATGATTTGACACTTACAAAAAAAATAAAATTTAAAATTTTATTATTTTAAAAAGTAAATGAAAATTTTTCTTTTTCTTTTTCTTTTTGATTCGCAATTATAACAAGTGTCATGGGGGGTAAATTATAAATTTATTTTATGATATCTTAACATTATAAACTTAATATATTTAATTAATATATTAAGTTTTTACAAGGTCGGATATTTTCATTTTATTTTTGTCAATAATAAATCACCCCCAATTTTTGATTTTAAAAAAATATAAAAAGAAAAGTAGTAATAAATTACAGCCCTAGAAGGCGTATTTAAAAACCCATTTATTTATCGTTTCGGGATTAACCACCAACTTACGTTTTAATGGATAGGTTAAGATTCCTTTAAAATCTCTAGAACCTTCGAATTCCTAACACTTTCTCCCCCCCCCCTTGCCCCCCTTCTCCAATCTAGAAACAAACCGTTAAATATATATTTATTTATTTTTTTTAAAAAAATAATAATTTATCTATATAATATATATCAAGTATAATGTATAAATCATTCAATAATTTTTTTAAATAAAAAATATAAATATATCAATTATATTATTATTATTCCCGACAATGGCCTATATATTTTAATATTTTTATATAATTTTTTTATATGAGCCAAAATTTTTCATATTTGTATATGAGATTGAATAAAAATATTATTTATTATACCATCATAAATATCCTCTAATTTTTTTTTAAAGATAAATTATTCAATTTTCGTTTTTTTTTTTAATTTATCGTGAAAAATAAAATTTATTTATTTTTATCGAAAAAAACAAAAAATAAAAAAAACTTTTAGCATTAACCGGAGAAGAAGTTTTACTTACTTACTTACTTTCATTCTTTCTAACTTACTTTCATTCTTTCTTTCTTTCTTTCTTTCTTACTTACTTACTTACTTACTTTCATTCTTTCTTTCTTTCTTTCTTTCTTTCTTTCTTTCTTTCTTTCTTTCTTTCTTTCTTTCTTTCTTTCTTTCTTTCTTTCTTTCTTCATAATACCTAGACGGACGAAACATTCATTAAAAGTGTACATCTCAATGAAAAACAGCTGGGGACGCCATTTTGGTTACCCATATCATTATTTAAAAATTTTAAACGAGAGGGCCAATTTATTCCTACGCAAACCTTTATTATAGAATTGCCTTATCATGGAGATAATTAAGGAAGCAAGGTTATCAATTTAATAGTAGTTTTTTAATCACGTGAATAATTAACTATATGGGTTTACCAAAAATGACTGGTCCAGTTGATTTGCATTCAATGACGCTAGCCCAGCGTCACTTCTAGGTATTATTATATGCCATTGCCCAAATTCCGACTTTCGGCTAACTTTCGGAACTCAATTCCTCCAATCTAAAAAAAAAATGAAATATGCAAATTAGATTTAAATTCGAAATAAATGGTTCAAAAAATGATTTTTTCTCGATTAAAAAATATATTATTTTTGATTAATTATATTATTTATATTTTGTTCCTTTTTTAATTTTTTTTCAAAATTAATTTGGTTTTTTTTTTTCAAAAAATATATTTTTGTAAATGACACTTAAGTGTGATGGTTAAATAACAAATCGTTAATTTTTTCTTTTTTCTCAAAAAAAGATATATTTTATTTGCGCCCTATATATATAAAAATCTTATCAAAATGATAAACAAAAAAAAATATAAAACATTGACTTAAAAAAAAAAGAAGCAGTTTAAGATTTATTTGAGGAAAATTTAGATGACGAAAGAAAGGAAAATTTGGTAATAATAGAAGGAAAAGTGTCAATCATGAAAATCTTAACAGTTTAGATTTATTTAAGGATTTAGATGACGAAAGAAGGAAAATTCGAAAGTGTCAATCATGATATGGCCTCAGTTGCCCAACATCTTAATTTAGTTGTTTTCTTTAAAAAAAAACAGTTTAAAATTTATTTAAGGAAAATTTAGATGGCGAAAGAAGCAAAATTTGGTATTAATAGAAGGAAAAGTTGTCAATCATGGAAATCTTAACAGTTTAGATTTATTTAAGGAAAATTTGCAAAATAAGAGTCCTTGCATCAGAACCCAAAGAATTTTATTTTTTTAAAAAAATACACAAATTATTACCATTTTAAAATATAATTATTCATGTTCCTTGGGGAACTTGTAGTCCCACCTCCATTTTTATAAAATGAGTTTTTTTTAAAAAAAAAGAATTATTTGTGTATATTGAATTTCGTTTCCTCGATATTTTTTGAAAATTTTAAAACACCAATGACAAAAACGTATTTCTCATTCCAATTTTTTTTCCCGCATCGGATTGGACTAGATTTAAAATAATCTGATTGGTCGGACAATTATTTTTATAGGACCGATTAAGACTTGGAAAACCTGGAATTGACTCTTAATTTGACAAAAATTTTTCAATATTTGTATTTTAAGAATGTAAAAAAAACCAAATAACATAAAAAACAATAAATTTTGTTTTTTTCCCTCTAACTTAAAAAAAACAGGAAAAAAACAAATGTTATTTTATGTCTAAAATATCGATAAATTAATTTCGTAACATTTCGAAACTATAAGCGAAAAAAAGAAATAAGCTATTTTAAAACGCGAAATTAAAATAGTGGCCAAAATGATATTTTCGAATTTACGAAGAACTAAAGTCGTAATTTGTAAAGAGAAACTATCCTTCGATAATATGGGTTTTCAATCATGTAGAGACTATTTTATGTGACAATTATTTACTTTGTTTTGATGATTATTTTCATTTTAGGTTCCAAATCAATATTTTTTTCAAAATTTCTGAGCCCAAATTTGGATTAATACTCCCCATTTTTTTTATCAAAATGTAATTTACCCGATCGATAAGTTATCGGTAACTGTTGTTAAAGTTACTTTTTCAAAAGTAACTAGTTACAGTTACAAATTACTCTATTAATTAATTTAATACAATTCCGTCATTTATTAAATATTATTTCAGTTATTCTATTACGCAAAATACTTTCTCCAATTTCAAATTTTTTTTTTTTAACCCAATTAATTTAAATGAAAGTGCAATTCAAAATAGAGAAATAATTGCATTGGAAAAAAAAATGGCCACAATATAATATTTATATAAAAATTTTACTTATAAAGAAAATTAAACTATGTGCAGGCAAAAGGCTTGAAAAAATAGCAATCTAGTTTTAAAAATGAAACATTTGCAGATAAATTTTCAAATTATTTGAAATCGAATAATGAAATATTCGTAATCGAGTAATAAAATATTCGTAATCGAATAATGAAATATTCGTAATCTAAAAAAAATGAATAAATACATTTAGATATTAGTTTCAGGTCTAACCTGAGCATAACCTTATATTCATTTCTGGATAGACGAAATTTTTAATTTGACAATTCGCCCAAATTTTATCCCGCCCCAATATTTTTTTCATTACCAATTTTGTTATGAGCCTATCCCTACCCCCTAAATATATATGGTATCAAATCATACCTACTTACCGTTCATGTAGACACTGGAAGAAGCTGGCGTTAAGATTGGTTTATATGAGATCAAGCAAAATACATGATCAATTGATTTTAACTGATACAAATTATTTAAAAATGTTTTTTATATTTCCAGACAGGATGTTTTTGTTAAGACGAATTTGCTATTGGAGGATAGAAATTAATTAAAACTTAGGGCTGCAAGAGCCAAAGAGATCAAGGAAAATACATGATCAATTGATTTTAACTGATACAAATTATTTAAAAATGTTTTTTATATTTCCAGACAGGATGTTTTTGTTAAGACGAATTTGCTATTGGAGGATAGAAATTAATTAAAACTTAGGGTTGCAAGAGCCAAAATATATGTTTTATTTATTTGGAGGGGAGGGGGATGGCAGAGGATTCAAATTCGTTTAGCAAAATAATTCCTGACTCAAAACACATATTTTTAATTTGATTTTTAGTTAGTAAGTCATTATGTTTACACTATTTAATGACCAATATGTTTTACTAAAATAAATGTAGATTCCTTCAATTATGATATTAAAAAGCTAAAGGCGTTTTAACTCTCCTGTTTAAAAGTACCTATAATAATATGGTTGTAAAAATTTGGTATTTATTATAAATTTTTGTATAAGATAATTGCTTCAAAAATAATATCGCGAATACATTCGTGGAATCTCATATCATTCCAAGGACGGATAATTAGTAGGAACCATCGTAAAATCTAAAAACATTATTGAATCTAAATGGATGTAAACGAGATAATAAATTTAAAATCAGACCTTTACTAGTAATTGGTTTAGATATTGGCATATACATAAAAGGGGTGCATATCACATCTAAGAACATTCCTGCCAAATTAAAATTAGAAAACAGGATTATAAAATCGAATGCTAAATTTGGGGGTTCGACGTTGATTTCTAAAATTTTAAAGCTACTCAAACTATATAGATTTGAAATGGAACGTCATTCGGTGGAGAGAAGGAATATCAAGTTTAAGAGAACAGAAGCGGTGGAATTAGTAAAATGAAATAAATTGTCTTTTCCCCACAGGACGATCATCTACGTTATCTTACAATCCAAAGTTATGTTCAGTTTAAGCATATCAATGAAAGGAGAAATATAGTCTGAACTAGTTAGCAAGACCGTGCCAGGGGCGAATATAAATTTATAGGCCCTTGCAAGGAATACAATTTACCAAAGCCCTAAGAAAATATGATACGTGATAAAAACGCTTTCGCCCTCTGTGTGGTTACAACAGAGTTGCGCTAGGTTTTCCTCAAATCCATCAAACTGGATATTTAATTTAGGAGGGAGAAAAATGAGGAGCCCTTCACACGTTTATGGACACGCTGCACATACTTGTACGCGCAACAGTCCGAGAACTATTGTTTAAACGTCTATAAGCTAATAACAGAAGAGTTGGGTAAAACAAAAGTCTATACCCGAGAACTACAATTTAATTACTATAAGGGTGGGTGGTGGCTGATTTTAAATTTAAATTCTTTAGTGTGAGTCTTAATGATGCTAACGATATTGAGATTTAATGCTAATATCATTGCAATTTATCCTAAATAAGAAAAAAGAAATTAAAAATATATTATTTAACTTCTCGTGAATATTTTAGTTCGATTAATATGGTTTTTAATCTTGGTATTCTATTATTTGCATTTGTAGCATCCACTTGCAGCGAAAAAACTTAACCCCGGCAAATCATATAAAATATTCTTATAAAAAAAAGAATAGCCAAAATTAAAGCAAATAAAACCCAAATTAAAATTATCCAAAAAAATATTGCACAAGAAGCAAAATTTGATGGCCCCTAAAATTGTCTAACTTTACGGCCCAGGGCCCCTGTCACACTCCTTTACGCAATCTTGCTAGTTAGATATACAAATACGAAGTAAATTATTATGAAGTGTATAATTATTTATACTTAGTATAACTAGGATAAAATGATTAATTTAAATTTGAATATACTGATTTAAGTAAAATATTATTTGTTATTTATAATATAATGTTCAGACTAGTTATTTGGGAATGTTAGTTCGGGATAGGGGGGGGGTCATATTTTTATTTAGTTATTCGAAATTTTATGAAGGCCATGTTAAGGAGATAAATTATTTAGGGGTGCCCTCTTCCCCCATCACTTCTTTCCATGACTAATAGCCTGATAATGGGTAATAAATAAAGCTGATTTTATCACCTATAAGTATAGAACCCTTCATTAAAATGCGAACACTAAATAAATAATATAATTCATAAAATAATAGAAAATATAAATATTCTATCTAGTTTAGACAATTTCGAATTGGATAATATCAATGATTATAAGTACTAAATTAGCCAATCATTAATTAAAAGTCTTTAGCGCCTTAGTTTACACTTCAAATAATTGTCTTTATTAGAATGAGATACCTAGCATACTGTAAACGTTTAGATGGTGATAGGCTTAATCGTTTATAATTATATGAATGAAAATTAATGCCATTTAATCAACTTCAAAACCACAAAATTGTTCTACCGCTGACTCCTACATATAAACCCTTTTAAATGTATTTAATATTTTATAATTAGGATAGATAATCCAGGACGTTAAATAGACTCAAATGACTTAGTATTAAGTATCTATCTTATTATCATATGGATAAAATTTTTGAAATACGGAACTTGTACTGGAAGATATTTACCTTCTCCACGTGTCTTAAAATCTTACTTATCCCTTCATAGTAATGCTATTACAATTAAATTAATTATATGCACTCAGCCTAATTTATTAATATTAATACTTTGAAATATAAAATTAAAGCAAGTCCACAGATTTTGAAGTCCATCGCAACTGGCTGGCAATAACTAACTCGTTGCCTATTAAAGAATGGTATACCAATGTAAGATTAATAAATATTTTTTATATGAAATAATAAATATTTTGTTTTTAGGCCAACTCAATATGGACATTAGATTATCCACCCTTTTTTGCTTGGTTTGAGTATATTTTATCATTTTTCGCACAATATGTAGACCCAGAAATGGTCAAAATTGATAACCTTAATCATGATAATGATGCAACTTTGATTTTCTTAAGATTTTCTGTTATTATAAGTGATATTATTTATGCTCTCGGAGTTAAAAGGTTAAATAATGATATTATTTGAAGCATACATTTTTTTTATTATACAGATGTTTAGATAAAATTTATCATAATTTAACGCCTATTACCAGAGAGGTCGAAAAACAGAATAAATATACGGCTAATCTAGTCCTACCATTATTACTTTTATGTAATTTTGGGCTTTTTATAGTGGATCATATTCATTTTCAATACAACGGATTTCTTTTTGGCATTTTATTCTTCTCATTTTCTTATATTATCCAGGTATAATTCTTAATTAATCCTAAAATTTCATGATGACCAATACCACATTTTTAAGTAACAATGTGATATCAGATGACACTACCAATATATTGATACCAAATAGTGTTGTTAAACGGCTCGATTTTTTAAAAATCCATTATGTAAGCCTTTTTTTAGCAAGCTTCGAGATTTGCTTAACAGATGATCAAGCCATTCTACTAAGCAAAATCACCAGACTTGCATCAGGTTAGCCATTTTTAAAAATTGAGTCGTTCAACAACACAAATACCAAATAATTTATTTATATTATTTAATAAATTATGAGAGTAAAACCTCTTTTCAAATTGGGCAGGGGTGGGGGTTATAAAATTTTTTGGTGCCTTACCATCAAACCTTTATTTGTCTGACCTTCTTCCAGGTTCCTCTCATGAAAAATGATGATTAGATATTATTGATTCTTGTATGGAGTGTTGTTAAATTGCCCAATTTGAGCGTATTTTTAAAAATTGCCAGATTAAGATTTTAGCCAAAATAATATTATGTAAGGCTGTGCAGAATGGTTTGGACCTCTAAATACCTGTATATTTTGCCTCATAGCTTGCAATGTTAGGACCTCTATATACCAATCGAGGCTTAGATTAATATTTTTTTGGCTAAGATATTTAGTCATTTTTAAAAATTGACCCAAATCAGGGCAGTTTTATGACACTACTTGTATGTTTTTATTTTTTATTAATTGCTCTTTAAAATATGTAATATCTTTATATCATTTCTTCTGTTAAAGTTGACTAAACAATTGGAAACACTAATAATTCCAAAGTCTGTGCCAATGTTTTCTGAATTATCTTCTTTTTGAATATACTGTCATATCGGGGCATCCCAGATTCTGTTACTAATTTGAAAATTTTAATTGGAACTATTAGACATAAAACCTAGACATAATCATTATAATTTTTTTTACTCAAGGGGCGATATTACATGGGAGCATTTTTGTTCATGGTCCTACTTAATTTCAAACATATTTTCATATATTCGGCTCCGGGGTATGCCATATTCTATCTTAAATGGATACTTCAAGACGATAAACACCATAACTCAAAAAAACATCAAAGTTCAACCCTGGAATATTACTATCTTCCTCACTCAAAATCCATCCCCAGTTATGCCGGATTCCACCAGATAACTTACCCAGTCGCGGATAAAATGAACGTTTTAGATGTGAATGTAGTGCAAAGGTACAGAAACGTAGCTGCCATAAATTCGCCGCCTAACAACCAAATCCCGAATGGGAACGAGATTTGGCAAAACAATAGCGATGTCTCTAACAATAAAATTTCGAACCCGCCCACTTTTAACGCCATTTTGAAAAGCGCTTTCAAGAAAATTTGCTTACTTTTGGTCATAGCTATACTCACTTTTGGCCTATCATTTGGTCCTTTCATCTATCTGGTGAGGTTTTTTTTTTTACGATGATCTGTTTGAAATAATTGTTACACAAAAGTTTTGTGCATAGTTTTATGTCATTCAAATTCTGGGAGTGTGACGGAGGGGGGGGGGGTGTTATTTATTGGTGTTCCTGAAATATTATTTGTTTAACACTCAGTTTTTTTTTATTACTATCACTTCTAAATTTAATATAAGAGAAGAACATCTTTCCAATCTTTAAGAAATTTCTATCCAGATTTAAACATGTATTTTCTCCCGTTTTTTTTAAAAAGTAAATGCTACATTAAGATACTAATCATATTCAGCTCTTTAATCAAGTCTGAAGATCAGCATGTCCCGTACCAAATCGTCGGTTCATAAGATTTTTTTTGTAAAGACCTAAAATTTTTTTTATGAATTCTACGCTTTAATTTTTTTTTAAAAGAAATTCCGTTTCTGGCAGATCTAATAGATGATACGAGATATTTATCGTATACTGACAGGGCCCCATACCAGTGCTTCCTAACATTCGAGAATGAGCGTTTAGTAGTTATCATAAAAATAATGAAACTATATGCATTATTAGATTATACAAGGTTATTTAATAATATTATCATATTCGGAATAATGATAAATTATTAAGTAGACCCTTAAAAAATATTTTATATGCGCAAAAAAATGTTTCTAAATGATCAAAATATTTGTAAAATGGTGATTCTTCCAACGCTCAATTTTTTGAATCGCCTTCGACACCCAGGAACATACTGGTATGGCCGAAAAAAATTTGATAAACGTACAGAACCATTTTTTTTTAAAAAAAAAAAATTAAATATATTTTTAAAAATGAAGAATGAATTTGGTCAAGTCCTTCAACGTATGTTTCCTTTCGGTCGTGGTCTCAAACACGAATATTGGGCTCCTAACATATGGGCCCTCTACGCGTTTGCCGACAAAATATTGGGATTTTATTCGCGTAATCATATTATTTTTTTCTCTTATACCATTTAATTATCGAGATTTTGATTTAGATACATTTTTTTTTCCTAGAAAAATTTCTTCACCCTTCCCCCCCCCCGCAATCCCTTGCCTTCCCTTCCTTGTTTTTGTGAAAAAATATCTAAATATAAATTCGCGGCTGTTGCGAAATATCGTTTCGCTTAGTTCGAGGAGGAAATTATCCGGGTCGAGCCATAATTTGGTTGCAAAACATTAGGGCCCGACCCCTAATCCGAATCAACAGGACCTCGGCATGCATTCATTCATTTATCCTCCCTTTTCCTCATTCTCTGAAAAAAACGGTTATCCATAAATTTATTTAGCCACTTCTCTAGACACTTCCAACGATCGCGGTGTCCAAGATAAAAACGCTCACAGATTTTTACCCGAGATAACTCCGTTACCCTCTTTAGCTTTGAGCATCTCCATCTTACTCCTACCTTCCGTGGTCACCTTGCTGATCAGGTTAAAGCGGAAATCAAATCAACCGTCAACCAAAAATCCCGAAAATTTTCGCGCTCTCCCCAAGCTTTTGTTGTACAACGTCGCCTATTCATCCGGCGCCGTATTTTTGGCAGGCTGGCACGTTCACGAAAAGGCCGCCTTACTGATAACGTTACCGCTAATGATGGGACTTTGTTTAGAGGTACCATGCCAATCAATTATTTAGTGACAAAAAAAAGTTTTCCAACCATACATTATTATTCTCTTTTTTTTTATAAACCGAAGCTGAACCCGTTAGCTGTTATTTTTCATTTGAATTGAACCTAACCTTGAATTCATAGTGGCGCAATTGCGATAGCGATTTAACAGCTGATCAATTTTTTAAAATCTGTTTATGAGATCAATTTTTATCCATCAATATTAATTTTATCTTTTAACATCAATTCATAATAATAATAATAATAATGTAAGAAATAATGATTTCAATAAAGAAAAATTAATCTCATAAACAGATTTTTTTTTTTTAAAACTGTCAGCTGTTAAACCGCGATCGTGATCGCGCCGCTATGAATTCAGGGTAACCCTACGCCCATTTATTCGTTACAGTTCAGATCCCAGGTTTAATTATGGACGAAACTTGTCATGATTGAATCAAGACTTTATCCAATATTTATTTTAAAAAAAAAAATTCCCCCCTCTCCCACCTTACAATTACATAGACCTGTCAAATTCAACAACTAAGCAAAGACCCCTCTTCTCTTGTCACTTCCTTCACCCCAACCCTAAACCAAAACTTTGTATCCCTCGTCGCTCTCGTCTGCTTGTCCTCCCATTTTTCCCTTTTGCCTCTCTTACCTTCGGGGGGAGCCGACACTCTGACAGCCATTTTGCTTTTTATCGTGTACCATTCCGCCGGATGCGCCATCTTAAATAACAGGTTTGTGACTCATTACTTTTTATATAAGAATGTGTAATATATATATAATATAAAATGAAACGAGGATAGGCTAATTTATATTTTAGATAGATGCAAAAACACTCAATAAAATGTTGGGCATATCAGCACAAATTGTAACCTCCCCTTATTCATTCCCACGACTCCTCGAATATCCAAATTATCATAACACATCTCGTGTTCATTAAATATAAGTTACATGATGCTCCTATTTAGGTGCTGACAAAATTATAAACAAAACAACATAAAAAAATTTGTTTTTTTTTGCATGCAGATATAATACAGATTATTCAAAAAAACTGGTTTTTAAAAAAAACAGATTTGATGGTCTAATTCATCCATAGTATTTGGTATAAATTTGTTCTAACTTCTTTGTTTTTTTGATATTCAAAAACAAAAAAATAACCCTGAGTTGGAATGCTTTTCTAAAGCATTATCCTCCAATAAAAATTATTTGACTAATTACTAAGAAACATTCCAGGGTTTTTTTAAATATATATATTGAAAGTTGATATCGCGATTTAAATGATAATTATTTTCCTAGAGGATAATTTATAAACCAACACTTATATATATTTTTTTTATTTGTTGCGCACGGGGAATTAGTGGAAGAAGAAAATGGAGTAACAGGGAAGTAGTGGTAGGACTGTTTTGGCGCGGCTTTATGATCATGTATCTCGGCGTTTTTATTTTCGAAAAATGGGGTCACATTTATCCACGTTACGATTACGTAGAACGATTTCCGTTCCTGCCGTTAGCCCTAATCAGCGCATATTGTGGGACGGGCATGGTAATAGCTATGGTTTGGCTGGGTACGGATCTGATTGCACTCCAAATAACTCCGCCCGGAACGAGCGGCCACATTACGGACAAAGTTAGCGGCGAAAGTTATACTCATCTTATGCACGAGGAAAATGAGAGTTACAAGCTCAAATGAAACCCCGTTATAATAGTGCGCACAAAATTGAACGTTTCAAATGCAGCGTTTCAAAAAACGCATTGTTTTGTTTTAAACGCACTATAGTCCAAATAGTCGGTAAATTTGCCTTATTATATATGCTTGTCAAAAAGTGATTAATTTTTAATATTATATAATTATTCCAATCTATTCTCGATCGTAATCATTTAATTTGAGTTTTTACCGTTTTATTTCTCCCGTGATTCGTCAATTTTTTTTTTGATTTTAATAGCGCATTTATTATCTTTCCAATATAAATTTATTATTATATAAATTAAAATTTATTTTGATAAGCTCATTATTTTAATGAATTTTATGTACAATTAAATTTTCGCGAACCAATATTTCATATTGCCACAATTATATATATTTTTTTATAATAATATTTATTTATAACAAAAAAAAAATATGGGGGGGGAGGGGACTAAAATTATTATTTTTTAAATGGATTCTTTATTTTACTCTATTAACTTTTATTTATATGCAAAATGATATATTATTTATAAAATACTCTCAAAATGGATATATATATATATATATAAAAGTCGAAATCATGTATTTGTGTATTATTGGCAGAGAGTTGGAAACCGGAAATACTCGAATCGGATCAAATTAAAGTGCTATGTGATTTATTTTTAAAAAAATTTTCCTGCAGAGTTTGTTAGGACCTGATCCTGATTTTCTTCTTTAACGCTGTGGTTAAGTCTTGACTGCGAGCCCTTTTAAACTAAGCGTTAAAGCAGTGGAAAAGGACCAAAGCCTAACAGAGTTTAAGAATTATAGTTTCCAAACTCTAACTTAGGCAACACATCTTGGCTAGTATTTTTAGGATGTTATCTGCTGGATGATAGTATATAAGGAAGATTTCTTTAAAATTTTTCTAGAATTTTATAGTTGCGGAAGCCATAAACCCTTTTATGAAAAATATTCAGAACTAGGAATCCTTTCTATTACTGTTTTCAAACTTTAATATAGGCGTGTCTGTCTCGCATCTTTATTAAAATTATGTGTGTAATAATTTATAGGATAGATCTGGTGGATGCATATTTATTGGTTGGTTATTATGATTTTAAAAAAAGAGTGTAAAAGCTAAAGCCCCGACCCAAGACCGCTTTTTACTAAGCCAGCATGATATTTGAATGAAGAAAAGGGTTTAATCTTGCATTATAATAAAATTATAATGGAATAGCATTTTGATAATGAGGTCTATCACTTCAAATTTCTGTAGTATCACATTAAAATTATCATTAAGAATTTGCATATATAAATATATATACATTTTTCATATTTGAAATGATACGGGATAAAGGTGGAAATGAACGACATCTCACGTCACTATGTTAAATACCTATAATAGTAACTAGTAAATTTGCATGACAATGGCATGTACAATATAATCTCGGGCAATGTTTAGCCACCTAATATAGATTTTTTAAGCATCATCTAGAGAATTATAATTGTTTTATGTGTGTACCAGATGTTTAAAACTATTAGTTCTATATATCTGAATTGTGGGCTCATCTCGAGAATTTAATAAATGATAAATAGAAATCAAATAAATTTGAAAGAATCTTTAAATATAAAAAATTTATACGATCAATCACTAGCGATAATACCGGATAGTGTTGTTAAAAAAACTCGATTCAGGTCGGTTTTAAAAACCGGCCCGATCAAGATCATAACCAGATTAAACATTATGTATATAGTCTTAAAGATTTTACTCATAGCTGGCAGAAATGCTTGGGACATCTATTTGCCAAATCTCTGCTTTACATTATATTTAGCTAAAATCTTAAATCTTGCCGTTTTGAAAGAAATTGACCCAAATTGGGTTTTTTAACAACACTAATCCCAGACAATGCCGCCCATATCGAATCTTTACAACATTGGCCAAATGCTAGGTATTTCGCACAATTTTCTGAACACATTGTTTATGTTTATACTAATATATCTTACCTTAGTAAACTTCTTTAATTTGTATCTTTTTTTTTGTATCGATTGAAGAATTTTTTTATATTTAAAAAAACATGATATAATAAACGTAAATATACAATTATTATATTTTAATAAAAAAAATTTTTTTTTTTTACCTTACTTCTAATTTAAAAAATACAATCCTATTTTTTAAAAAAAAGTATTATAAATAGCATTAATGGTAATTATAGTACTAATACTTTTATCTCATTATATTTTTTTTTATTATTACTTAAAATATAATTTTAACAAATGTATAAAAATAATAATATATAATTCTAACAAGATTTTATATTTAAACATATATATATATTTAAAAAAACTAAAAATAATTATTTTTAATTATTATTTTGGTTTTATCTAATTTTCATAATCTCTCAAAAATATACTATTTAACTTTAAAAAATAAAACCTAAAACTTGTAGCCACCAACTTCGTTAAAAAATGATAATTTTTCAACTTATATATATTTTTTTTTAAAATAAAGTATTACAAATATTAATCTAAAAAAATATGTAAAACATTTAATAGATTAAATTTCTTTTTTTTTCGCGAGGAGTTAAAAATATGATAGTGTATATATATTTTTTTAATATAAAAATTTTTAAACCAATTTTTATCTCTAATTAAAAAATATATTTATTATAAAATATATTTAACCAAAAAAAAAATTTTTCTTATAAAGGAAATTAAATAAAATTTACATCCTCAAGATTAAGGAAATTTATTTTATTAATCTTTAATATAAATTTTTATGTAAATTGAAAAATACATTTGATTTGGAATACATTTCCGATTAAAATTAAAAAATTTTACAAATTTAAAAATTGGCGCCAATTATTGTTTTAAAATTGAAGGATTTTGGGAATTCGCCACGTATTACTAGGTTTTTCTGCGACCAAGATTTAGATCCGAAGGTATAATCAGCTCGAAAGTTTTTTAAAAATTAGAAAAAAGTCGTGATTCTTTGAAAATTATCTTCCTAAGTTATTTCAGAAAATGGGTTGTTATATCTAAAGCCCCCCCCCCCCCCCCCCATAAATGAAAATATCGAGGAAAAGGGATATAGCAAATTAATGGATGTATATCCAAGAATTATTATTTTGTTTACAATTAATTAGAATGGCGGTTCTTCTGAGAGAATCTAGATTTAGCAAAATTAATTCAGTGTCGGGAATGCATTCTAGAATGCTCAAAATAACCAACAAATCGCGAGAATTGTATTCTAAGCATTCTACGACACATTTTTTTGGTAATTTAAAAATTTTTTTACTAAGAGTTCTAGCCCCAAAAATTTGAGAAAGCAAGTGTTATATGCTATTTAAATTGGTTGAGGTTCTGAGAAGTGTAGTTCGACTCGTTTTGAGCCGATTTTTAAAAACGGCTCTAACTCAATATTTTAGCCAGAAAAATATTGCCTGAGCCTCAAGATTTTGCTAATAGATGTCAAAACCTATGTTCCCTCTACAAACAAAATCTTCAGGCTTGCGTATCGGCTCAAAATGAGCCGTTTAACAGTACTAGTTCTGAGAGTTTCAGGCTTCTGACACCAGATCTAAAATTAAAAAAAAAGGACAGAAAAGTTAAACTAATAAATAAACCACCTAAAGTGAATCGCACAACATTTTAGAACAATGTATTATGTTGTATACATAAAATTTTTTGCACTTTTTTAATGAAAAAAAAACTGTTTCTGGAATCCCCCATAAATTCTTTTAAAAGAGGACTTCACACGTTACTAATTTCAAATTGCTCATAATATTTGTATTATTAAGGTAACATAATTTTATATAATTTGAAATATGATAGTATTAAATCGGTTTTTTTTCCGCTAGGAAGTGGACCATCGATTGACTTCATAGATGGCATATATTTGTTTTGCGCTAATTATGCATATATTTTGTCAAAACATTTCAAATTTCGGATATGAATGATGATTTTGATTTGTTACATTGTTATCTAGGTGTATTCTCAAGCAATAATATTTGTATTTATTTTATATATTTTTTTTTGATAAGAGAATTTTCTTTTTTAGTCAAAAATATTGGAACATATCATTAACCCAAGAATACACACAGAAAATCAAGAAAAAATGCGTGCATGCTCCACATACGTGTACGTAGAATATCTAGAATCAATGAGTTCGTGAATCGTCTTTGTCTTGTTGAAGTCGTTGGAACCTAAAAAAAAATTATTATTTAATATAATATTCTATTATTATTATTATTAATTTGTTTCTTAGAGGCCCTAAAAGATAGGGAGATAAAATTATCACTCTTGCACTTTCGAGACTGGATCAGGTATTTATAAGCTAATTTATATCATTCTTAATCATAGGGTGCCTTTTTTTCCCCCAAATATATGATGTCCTTTATCAAACGCTTGGCATTTTTCAATGCTCAATTAAACTAGAAAATGGCACTAAATTTACTAAATTTTTCGAAAAAAGGACAGCATGTTACTGAAAAAAAAAACAAAATATTAAGGAAGAAGGGCCATTTGGGGGATCATGATAGGGAAGTTTATATTCACCACCCCCTCTTCCAAAAATTTTGTAAAAAAAAATGTCCTATTTTTGCGTCCAACCCCCGCCCCCCCCCCAGCCCCGCTCCGTCCCCGTTCCTCTAGATACATTTAGGACGCGTTTCAAAATCAAAAATTTTTTAATTTAATATTGAAATTTGCGAAATTGGGTTCAGACATAACCTTAAATATAAAGGTAATATAATAAAATAAGAATATATATATGTATATGTTAGTGTCCTCAACAATATGGCCGATAGGAAATGAGTCAAGAAAAGTCGGCATGAGAACCGGTTTTTTCAGATAATGTGTGATTTTTTTTTCCAACTTTAAAATCATTTTTTTGCGCCACTTTTTAAAAAAAAAAAAAATTGAAAAATTTGATTTTTGCGGATATGTTATTCCCATCATGTTTGGAATACCTAGCCTATAAATGTCCAGATAATTTTAGCTACGAACTTTATTTGTTATATTAGATTTTCCCAAAAATTGTATTATGCAAATTATATAGGGATTCAAAAAGGTTAACAGCAAAAATTGTCTAAGATTAATAAGATGAGGATTCCAAACATGACCGGAACGTATTTCCGGTAAAATCAGATTTTTTAAATTTAGGAAGAAAAAAAATCGCGCCTCAAAAATAATGATTTAAAGTTGAATAAATGACACATCCTCATTAAAATTTGTTCTCACCAATAAATAACTAATTTAAATGATAATAAATTTATTTTCGCTGGAAAAAAAGCACATTTGCCGCTAACATATACAATTATAAAGTAATTCTATTAAATAATTATATTTGTATATATATTTATATACATATAAAAAAAACATTTTAAAAAAATAAATA